AGGCTGAGGGGGTGCAAACCGCAGTGGCCCTACAGGTGGCTTGGCAAAGGGAATTCCTAGGAAGCTGTGGACCCCCACATCGGTGCCCTTCACGTGGACGAGGCTCCCTCGCACCTGCCCCGTGTGCGTGGTCCGGATGGGGCTGGCAGAGTCCTGCCCTGTGGACAGAGAGATGGACCTGAGGGTTGAGTCTCCCCAATCAGCTGTCCTCCCAGCCCGTCGGTATTGCCACCACATTGCTATCCTCAGCACTGCTGTAGGGATCCCGATCTACAAACACTGGCTTTACATCTTACACTTGTCCATCAAAAGCCTCTACTGCCCATTGGTGAGAAGCTGATACAGAACATCAGCTAAGGCACATCCGGCCCAGACTGAAGGGGAAATTGATCTTCCCCTGACTCGCCACCTAGGACAGCCTCTCTCCATGACCCTGCAGGGGCTCCCAGGCCAGCGTCATACCCTGTTTCTGCTCTCCTGTCCCTTGAGCCTTTCCCCATAGGGGGGCAGAGAGGGCGTTGGACACCAGGCTTCCTGCCTGCTCCTCTCCCTCCTAAGGAAAAGGGAGTAGCAGATTGATCCGAGGGCAATGCACAGGCTGAGCTGTCAAAGGGTCTGCTCGCTTGCTCCCCTGCCAGGAGACCGGGCTCTCAGTTTGGGGTGTTTGCATAGCTTTAATTCACTCCTCCTCCCAACCCATGGTCCCCACCAGTGCCTGGTTCTGAGCAAACACACAGGGAAGAAAGTGGCCCTGTCTCCTTAGCCAGGCTCTCCTTTTGGTGTCCAGTGCGTGTCTCTCCTCTGCCACACTCTCCTGACTTATGCAGGAGGGACCAGCAGCCCCAAGAATGCCAGACCCTTGCAGATCACACGGTGCTACTGAGATGTCCCAAGCCTCACCTCCACGTCTGTGACCTCCCTCCTTTCCTCTCCCTTTAGCTTGAATCTGAGCAATGCTCGTGCTCATTCTCACAAAGAGGTTTCCCACCCCTTCCCACCCACCCCACCCCACACTATCTGCTAGTCTCTGTGAGGTCCTTGTTGCACTTATTGGGGTTGAAGCTCTTTAGGAGCTGGAACTCTCTACTCCAGGAACACCACCATTTCATTGCTACCCAGGCAGATTCTGAGACAGGCACCATCTCCTTGTTCCTCCTGTCTCCTTAGCCTCCCACTTTATTGCTCCTTTCTTTTCTTTTCTTTTCTGGGTTTTTTTTTTTTTTTTTTTTTTTTTTTTTTTTTTTT